AAAAAAAAAAAAAAAAAAAAAAGAGAGAAAGAAATCATAAGCAGTAGCAATGCCTTTGTGAACCTTAAAACACAAATTCTCCTGAATATATTTTAACATATTTTCAGGAGAGGAGATACTTTAAAATTTTCAAACCAAGGAGGTTATTTCTTTAGTTCTAGTATGACTTTACATGTCTGGGGAAAAAATTATTCTAACTCCTCTAATTGAATTACCAATATTTCTATGATATTACCATTAAAATCATGGATAGTACAAAATACAAAATAATTACTTTTGTATATGAGTTACTTTGACAAAAGTCTTAAAATTATTTCAAGTACAGGAAAAAAGATTATGCTTTGTACTGTGACAGGATGAGTTTTAGAACTAGGTATTCACACCCCTACATGTATATGTCTGTTTTAATCCCTCTGGATATAAATTCTGTTCAAGTACCTGACTGCTAAAACAATTACATGTAATACAATAAAGAAACCAAAAACCTAATTTAATCTGGAAATAACCAGTAAGTCAGTATTGAATACAACCAATTTGTCTTTGAAGTTGAAGAGAGATTTATGATAAAAATTCCAAGTGAAAATAGCTATACTCATATCTACCTATCCAAAAGAATTGGAAGAATTTCCAAATTCTACAGAATTTCTTTACATGCACTTAAATCCATATTCCTAGTATTGTTCATTATACTTACTATGGATCTTTTATTAAGCTGGTCTCTCCATTTTTCAACTAAACAATTTTCAAGAAGCATCATCCTGAAAAAGAAAAATTTATCTTCATAAGCAATTTCTGATTATGAAAGTAAAAAGTTTTAAAATACCAAAAATTAAAAAACAAAACAAAATTCTTCAATAACCTCACAGTACACCATTTATATTTTGTTGATATATCCTTTCATTCTTCCTTGTACATATATATATTTTATATCATACTGTGTATTTAGATCATATTGTACACCTTCTCATTGTATTATACAAGTTGGGGCAAAGTAGGTTTACAACGGTTTATATGGAAAATAATACAATAATTAATAAATAATTTACAGTTATAAACTCTGTTTTGTGTACTCACAACTGTAAACCTACTTTTGCCCACTGTGTATGTGTTTTCTGACATAATTAGAATTCAAAAATATAACTTTAATAACCAAATAATATTACAACTATGAGTATCTATAATATATTATATATATATATATATATATATATATATATGTTTTCAATGCATAGTCCAAAATTGTTTTCAAAATGATTGAATTTTCATTCAATTCACTAACATTAAGACTAGGTAAATATTGAATCTTGCTTTTATTTGGATTGGAGAATTAAGGAAATAACTTTCTTTAATGTTTTATTTATTCTTTTAATTTCTTCTGGATATTGTCTCTATAGATTTATGTGCACATTGCCCAGCCAGCGTGGCTCAATGACTGATTCAGGCGATCGGGGTTCAATTCCCGATTAGGGCACATGCCCAGGCTGCGGGCTCAATCCCTAGTCAGGGGTGTGCAGGAGGCAGCCGACCAATGACTCTCACTCATCATTGATGTTTCTCTCTCTCTCTCTCTCTCTCCCTCTCCCTTCCTCTTTCTGAAATCAATAAAGATGTATTTAAAAAATTATAGATTTATGTACACATATATCTATGTTGCAGGCTTAATGTTTTAAATATTAATTTACATGAACTCTTTAGAGAGTAAAGTTGCTATTCCTTTGCCATACCTATTGTATTTCCATAGTTTTTATTTGCCTTTTTATTTTTATTTGTGATTTATATGTACAGGCTAGTATGTGGTCAAACACGTGTAGTGACATTTTCCCTTGTAATTTCTTACATTACTTATGTTTACAAAGTATTTTGCCATTCAGATCTTGTACATTTATTTACCTAATTTTATCCTCTTTAAGGTTTTAAAATACACTGCTGGTGGGAATGCGGACTGGCACAGCCATTATGGAAAACAGGATGGAGGTTCCTCAAAAAATTAAAAATGTAACCGTGATTTGACCCAGTGATTCCACTCTTAGGAATATATCCTAAGAATCCTGAAACACTAATCAGAAACAATCTATGCACCCCTATGTTCATAGCAGCACAGTTTACAATAGTTAAGATCTGGGAACAGCCCAAGTGCACATCAGTAAGTCAGTAGATAAAAAAGCTGTGGGACATTTACACCATGGAATACTACGCAGCTGTAAAAACGAAGGATCTCTTACCCTTTGAGACAACATGGATGGACCTGGAGAGTATCATGCTAAGTGAAATAAGCCAGTCAGAGAAAGACACGTATCACATGATCTCACTTATATGTGGAATCTAATGAACAAAATAAACTGATGAACAAAATAGATCCTGAGACATGGAAGCATGGAACAGACTGAGGGATCTCAGTGGGAAGGGAGGGTGAAGAGAGACTAACTGAAGAACTTATATGCATATATGCATTACCCATGGGTATAGACAATAGTGAGGTGAAGACCTGGGGAGGGAGTAGGAGCTGGGTATAGTTGGTCAATGTGGGGAAAAAGGGACATCTATAATACTTTAAACAACAAAGATGAATTTTAAAAATTTATCTTTTATCCATTTGAAATATACTTTAGAGTATAAAGTAAAAATATGTAGTATTTTTTCCAAATAAAAATATTTACCACTTTCAACTAAATAATATTTTTATTTCCTATTGATTTGCCATATTTCTTACATAATATGTTTTCTTATGCACTGGAATCTATTTCAAAACTCTTTCTTCTGCTTTATTTATCTTTATACCAATTCTTGTACATATTATTTTAACAAATGTAACATTATACCACTTTGAATGTCTCATTGAGCAGATTTCCTCTCATCCCTCTTATTTTCAAAATAATATGCCTTTACTAGTTTATTCTTCCAAAATGATCATTAGCATCATTTGTGAATACATAAAGTCCAATCATCACAAAATTTTTACTGGGATTTTGATCAGAATTGCATTAAATTTACAAACTAACTTGGGAAAGATGATGTGAAAATGCTTATTTAATTCATTTATAATCCATTCACCTGTCTAAATAGAATCTAATGGCTAGCAACATGGTAAATCTCCAGAGCTGTGCTTAATACTGTAGTAGATACAAACACCATGCAAGAAATAAGCTCTGAAATATTCATTCAACATTCATTCATTCATTCATTCATTCATTCATTCATTCATTCAGCTTCTTTAGAGAGACAAGATAAAAGTAAAACAGCCTTAAAACCAAGTACACAAAGTGCTATATGTGGTTTGAGGAAGATGCCCAAGTACTGATAGAGTACAGATAAGATAGTTTTCAAGTGAGGTAAATTTCAGATTTTTGTTTTCCAGAAATAGAGTCTTGAGCTATATCTAGAAGAAGCAAACAGGTAAGCATTAATGACAGAGAATCAAGGAGAAGACTTGTTATGTAAAAATGAATAATTTTGCTGGAGAAGTATATTGCAGCAAGTTTCAGGCTCATCCTGGAATGTTTGATTTTTGTGTTATAAGAAATATATTGATATATAAAAAAGTTGTTGAGGAAAGAGATGTGGGAGACACACTTTCAGCTGGAGATATGAGTATATGTGTGTGTGTATGTGTGTGTAAAAATTATAAACTAAGTGTATGTAAGGGAAAAGTGTGGAACTGTATCTCAAATGGCCATCTTTACTTGATATGTAAGTTATTAAAGAGACCTTAAATATTCATTGAGCCAGTGTTGCTCGGTGGTTGAGCATCAACCCATGAACCAGGAGGTTACCGTTCTGTTCCTGGTCAGGGCACATGCCAGAGTTGTGGGCTTGATCCCCAGTAGGGGGCATGCAGGAGGCAGCTGATCAATGATTCACTTCATCATTGATGTTTCTATCTCTCTCTCCCTTTCCCCTCCTCTCTAAAATCAATAAAAACATATTTTTTTAAAAAATTCAGTATTTGCCCCAGTAAGATTGATTTGAATGATTTGAAATGAATTGGTTTTACTCAAGGTAATTTATCTGCCTATACATTTTTAAATCATCTGATAAATTCTGAAATTTATTTTTAAATATTCTATTGAAATACTTATATTTCTATTTTTTTAATTCTATGAAGAATTAATTGATACTTATGATATTCCAAGAAAGGCATCTATTAAAATTGCTTTTTAAAAAAGCTGGTGCCATATTTTTTAACCATGACTACTAAATGAGACTGATGTTTTCGTAAGCCATGTGCAGTTTCTTCTACCCCTCTGTGCCTACCGTGAGCGCCACTCATAACACATGATGAGAACGTCTTGATGGGGCAGGATGTGAGGACACTGGCAGGAAGCATTCGTAATGAGTGGGACTTGAGTTCGAGGGATCGGTGATGAGGACTTGAAGATCTCTTTCACATCCACCACTGTTGTTACTTCATTACAGCCACTCCTCTGTACAGCTTTTATTTTGGCATGGATGACTGCAATTTAAAAATTGATTTAAGTGTTGTTGAAGTCTTTGGAGAAAAATAGGGATGCTGTATTCATGCCAATTCCTGAACCTCTTTTAAAGAATTACTCCTGTAATTATGGTCATGTCCAAGTTGCCCAAATGCAGACAAAAAGCCCACAATCACATGCTAAATATAGGGCCGCCCATATTGTCAACATTGTCTTAAAAGACCTGAATCATGCTTCAAGATGTAAAAGTAAATTAACAAGCAGGCTTAGTCTGGGTTCTGCCTTTGGGTCAGTGACTAGGTAGGGTTTGATTAGAGAGCGCCATAGATCCTTCTCAGCTCTAAAATTCTATAATTCTAAAATTAGGTGGTTTTTTTTGTTTTGTTTTGTTTTGTTTTGTTGCTAAAAACATATCAGGAAATTTAGTTACAGAGACTGTCAATAAAAATTTCATAGAAACAAATATTTGTTTATACTCTGCCTTGTGATGATTTGAAGTGGGTATCATATATTCTCAGAATCAGAAACCACCTTAAAGTTTGTATGCTTCAGTTATCCATCTGAGGCTTCAACTTCCTCTGTTCCAGAAGTCATTAGAGTCATAACATTTTAGACTGCGAGGAGTCTCTGAAGATCACTGTTCTCAATCCTTTAATTTCCCACACTATCAATGCACAGTCTGTGGTGAATAGAGGTAGAACTATTATTACAGATGGTTGTTTATGTTACTGTGCCTGATCACACTTTAAATTCTGGCTCTTTTGATCTCTTGCTATTAGTGCCTGCCATACAGTTGTAATCAGCCTAGTATGGATCTGTTTTGGAAGCTGGTTTATAAAGAAGCCAAAAGATTTAAATAGAAATGGTTTCATCATCAAAGTAGTTATGAGGCCATGACACCCAGAGAACAGTATGAAAGTAAAACTCAGATGACAGACTAAGTAGCTCAGATTAAGACAACATATCTACATAGAATGGGTTTTAAAAACACAACAAAAACCTACTAGAAAAGAAAGTCTATTTTTTGTTATTGTTTCAATTACCCACATTAGTTATATAACAAATCTGGCAACCTAAAAAAAATAAATTATTTTTTCAGACTTTTATATTGCCATGATCATCTTACTTTCATATGTGTATATAAAATAAAGATTATCATGATATAAAATATCAGTTTGAATACAGAAAACTAAGTTAGCAAATAAAATGAACATTTTTTCCTAAAAGTTTTTGTTATTTCAGCAGAAATAATTTAAGAAATTCAAAGAAACATAAAATAACTCTAGTAGATATTTTAAAAATAATATTTTTAATTAAATTTACTTTCAAGTGATGATAGCAGAATTAAATTGACTTAAAACATTCAAAATAGAATGAATGACTTATTCTTTGAAGAAAGTGCTGTTTTTTTCAAATGAGAAGAGGGCATTTAAGGTATGTCAATAATTATAGCCATAGGGTCCTGTGATTAACATATTCCTACAGCTTCTTTAAGATGTTAAATATTCATAATTATTTATAAGTAAAAAGATACATGGGCAGATCTTAATTCTGGGCTTATGGGTTTCAGATAACCAAATCATGGATCACTCACTCGTCCTTCTTACAGCAATGAAATCTTATGAAAAGAACAAGTGAGGTGTGCTGTTCTGGCTGAGCAGGACCTCTCACCAAGACAAATAGGATCATGATGTCAAACTGAATCACATCACTGTTTTCACCTGAGTAATTTACTTTGTATTTACTTGATTTACACAGAAAAGCAAGAAGTTTTACAGTTGTTATTATGCCATTTGAAACCTACGCAGTTAACTAGAAAAATCACCAAAACACTTCTCCTTTTTTTTTTAATCCTCACCTGAGGATATTTTTTCCATTGCTTTTGAGAGAGAGTGGAAGGGGGAGAGAGAGAGAAACATTGATGTGAGAGAGACACATTGATTGGTTGCCTCCCGCACTTGCCCTGACTGGAGCCGAGAATCAAGCCTGCAACTGAGATATGTGCCCTTGGCCAGAATGAAACCCTGGACCCTTCAGTCCACAGGCCGACGCTCTAACCACTGAGTAAAACTTGCTGGGGTACCAATCTCATCTTTACTTTATGACTAGTAGACCTGGCTTTAGAATGTGCCAAGTTCCAAAGTTAATGGTCTCACTAGATGACTTACCATAACTGTAATTTTTGCTCAGATATGTTGCCAGAGTTGGCTTCACTTTTTTACACTTGCACCGGTCTAAAGAAGAGAAGAGAGAGACAAATTGTTGGAAAAAGACTCAGAGAAGTCATTCTGGGGAGAAAAAAACTGAGCCTTGAGGGCAAAGAACTCACCCGGGCTTAGGTGTTTACAGTCGACATCAAGAGGCCTTTCCTGTACCATCATGTCTGGTGTGATATCTATCCACTTAGCATCTGAAACACACACAGGGTCACATGGGTGTGGTCAGTGATTTGGCCTGTTCACCCAGCTGGAATAAGGAACCATCTGGAGACATAAACTAATACAGCATCACAAAAAACAAAAAAGAAACAAACAAAAAAACCACCAAAAAGCTAAATAGTGAAAATGGCATGCAATTGTCGACTACTTCTTTCACATAGACATCCCTGGGTTTAGGAAAGACTTTCAGGTGAAACTGCTTATCCATCACAAATTGATGTGAACACACATCCATTTAACCTTTCTGATAGTCACAGCCAGCCTGGACAAATCAAGCCATTCCTTTTCAAATCCATTTTAAAATGTTGATCTTACTAGTTGCCAGCTTCCACTAATAAAAATAACCAGAGTATTTCCAAATCTCCACATTACATTTTGCAGTACAGAAACAGTCCACTGCTACACAATCCAAAACAAGCATAACCCTCTATCATTTGTATAATTTAAGAAGAAATAGTTTTTTTCTAAAACTGAATTAGAGAGGAGTTTCCATTTCCCCCTTCACTTTACTTCTCTTCCTTCATGCTTTGGTTAATGCTCTGAGGTATGCATAACTTCAGACACTACACCATAATCTCTTTAAGTGTGCAGCAGTCTGGGTCAGGGATAAAAGAATGCAAAAATATTCCTAGGTTTCATTTCAACAAGTGGATTTAAACTTGCTCCTTCTTCCTAGAGAAACAACAAAATGACCAAAAACAAAGGAAGGAAGTAGAAAATGAGATCCAGTTAACTAAGATGCCACAGATGTTGGCTCCTGGTTAAAGACCATGAAACAGACATCACGGTGACCAAGTTTGCAAGCTGCGCTCCTGATAGGGCGTGATAACTGAACATGATTTTTCAGAAACAGCTTTCAAGAGCTAACATCAAATGGAGAATCCTGGTGGGATTACTTTAAAGATTAAATGATACCTGTAAGGTGCTTAACGCTGGCTCAGACCCACCGTAAGACCCATGTACCTTTTTACTGCTGCTACTATTACTATTCTGTTATTACTGTGAAGGAAACCACCCCCAACGGCTCTTTGTAAGCAAAATCTTTCCCCCGCCCCTTTAATGTGACATGGCGTTCTTCATCTCCTGAAATTCCTGTAGAAAAATCAGACTCTTCTAGAAGTCACGTCACCAGCACTTCCCGCAGAAGTGGGGTTCGGGGTGGCGGTGGGGGTGGGGTGGGAGCTGACCGACCCCTGGGGCAGCGGTAGGTGTGGCAGCAAGGTTCTCACTCGGCAGCGACAGCCAAGGGTGGCTCCTCACCCCCCTCAGTCCTTCCCCGGGCCTCACCCTCTGGGAGGTCAGTGACGATGGCTTCGGGCGAGATACACACGCCTCGGTCGTAGACGGGCAGGTCGTCGCAGGCCAGGCTCTCGGGCCAGCTGTGGTTGTACATCTTCATGAGGGGCTCGCAGTCGTCGCGCGCGCGCTGGCACACCGACTTACAGGGCTTGATGGGGTCGTGCAGGAACTCCAGGGTGCAGATGGGCGCGTACATGGCGCAGAGGAAGAAGCGCAGCACGGCGCTACAGTTCACGTCCACCAGCTCTTCGTACTGTTCGATAGCCAGGATGGCGTTCTCCTGCGTGCTGTGATGCAGGTGGTTGGGCATCCGCGTGATGTTCCAGGGCATGTGCCCACACATGGGGATGCGCACCGCCTCGCAAGGGGCGCCGCGGACACCCAGCGCCAGGCGCAGCCAGAGGCACAGCGCCGCCAGGCTGGAGAGGAGCATGGTACTGGGTCCTCCTGCGCCGCGACCCCGACAGGCGGAAAGGGCCCTTCTCTTCCCGCCACCCCCCTATTCTTTCTCTCTCCCCTCTCCGAGGAGGAAGTCCTTTAGGGCACAGAACCCCCCAACTCCCTTCGGCAGCAATTTGGGGCCACTGGGGCTGGCCGGAGATGTCCGCCGTCTGGTGCACAGTGCACGAGCAGAGCCAGCCTTCAGCCTCGGGCGCGAACCCGCACTGGCAGCTCCAGCCCGCGACCCGGCAGCTCCGAGCGCAGCCAGCCACGGCCATTGCGGGACCCTATTTATCCCGATACGTCCCCTGACGTGGGCTCGGAATGCTCCCTTGGCAGCCGCGAGCGCGTCTCGGGCTCCCCCTCCGCCGCTCCACCCCCAGCCCTCTCTTTGCAGAAGCGGTGACATCACCTCCTCCTGGCCGCAGCCCTGGACTGGAATCCGGCATTCCCCCAAAGTCCCTCCTTTTTGATCTGGCCAATCCTTTCTCTTAGGACCAAGAAAAAGAGCCTCTGGCTGTCGTTTTGGATACCGGATCCAAGAAGGTGCAGGAGGGGATTTTAAGAGAGAAAGAGAAGCTCTTCTGAGTCAAAGCTGAACTTTGCACCTTCTGCCTTAGAGGTTCCCCAGGAACACAGTTGGAAGGAAATGGGAACATCTACTGTCCTTTAATTCTGAAAAAAATACTTGGTTTCTCCAGTAGGGGGCATGAGAAGCCCTGAGTAGTGAGATGGATGTTTGGGGCTGGAGAGCGCGGTAATAATCACTGCTGGAAAAGAATGCGCAGGTTATGGAAACAAACTGCCCCACTTCTCCTCACATTGTATGGAGTTTGTTTTGTTGTTACTATAGTGTCTAATAGACATTAGTCTGGGCTCAAGTTTTTCCAGAGTGGCATTTGGTCTGTACCTGCTCCAGAAACAAAACTACCTGAAGATTCAATAGCATCTTCTAGTTTGAAAAATGTCTTGCACCTACCAACATTTCCCCTTTCTTCTAACTCCCTATTCCTCTCTCCAACATGAATGAAACCCGGGGGTAAACAAAGAAAATTTTGGACACCACAGTCTGAAAGATTTATTCCCCCCCTTCATGCCAAGTGATTCTAACCCAGCAATCTAAAAATCTTGATTTTTGATGTGCTTGGAAACTGTTGTTTAAATTAAGAAGCTATGTACCATGGAAAGTAAGTATGTATGTTTTGTTTTCTCTTTTCTCTTATTTTTAAGAAGAGATAATAAAGCCAACTACCTCTGCTGGCTCAGCTATCCACAGAAAAGGGCAACATTGTACCTGGATTGCTGGTATATGTTATTTTCTTAGGGCATTAGAATATGCAAACATGTTCTCTGAATGTTAATCTTTAAAGACATAGTTTCATTAGAAATCTGAATTTAAGGCAGACAGGTTTTTCTCCCTAAAACAGAACCACCAAATTAGTTTAGTTTTGACTCTGATTGGAACTGAGAACTAAAATAACCCAAGGAACAAAATGGGCTAGGCACAGTGCCAAGTGCTTTAAATATATTATCTTTTGGGGTGGTGGTACATGAATTAGGCACGTAAATTTAAAGGATAAATGAGACAATGCATTTCAGGATTCACCTCAGAAGTGCAGTTCTATTTAGAGGAAGCCCAGGGCATCCAAATACAGCCAGGCCAGGCCAGGGAGGTATTTCAGTTTTCTATAGGACAGATCTCAGCTTCAAAAATGCCAAGCCAGGCTAGCGAGATAGCAAGCAAGGGGTGAGCCCAATGAGATCTCAAGGTATTTCCAGCAGTAAAATCCAATGAGACGAGTGAAAAAGATTTTCAACCTGAGTTCCTATGAGGGAAGAAATACAGTTTTGAGAAAGAACTGAACTGCCTACCCTTTTCCTGTGAGTTGGTTGAAGAAAGAAAACTTGGAGAGGGCTCATATGTCTGCAGCCAGTTTGAACCTGCTGCAGTTGTTTAGTCATGCAAGTACCAAGTCACGTTTCAGGTGCTTCCTTGATGTTCTCCATGGCATGTCCTTTAAGAAAGGGTGAGAAGTTATGAGACCTTCTCCATAGAGTTCTTTGCTTACCCCATTAGGTACATTGGCAGTCTGTCCCTAGTGTAGTGTTTCGGGGGGGGGGGCAGTGAGGGATTCATCAGGAGATTCTGTCAACCCACCTCCCTCTTCATGGCTGGCTTTAGCATTCAATCCATTAGCCCATACTTGACCCAGATTTGCTAAAAGCTTGTGTAACTAAGGAAGTTGCCTTGGTCATTAGCTTCCCTCTGGTGATTCATTTTCAATCTCAAGTGCCTGCTTCTCTGCTCCTCCTTCAAATGTTTCAACCTCTCTGAAGCTCTTTCCTTAGCCCTCTTTTTACTCTCTACACTCCCTGCTACTCCAGGTTTTCCTGGCTTGGGCACTATGGACATTGAGGCTGGATAATTCTTTATTGGGAGGGAGAGGATGCTATCCTGTGCATTATGGATAGTAACATCTCCGGCCTCCTACCACTAGATGCCACTGGCAGCTTAGCCCCCACCCCCCTGTAACAATAAAAAACATTTCCAGATACTACCAACTGTCTTCTGGGAGTCAAAATCACCCTGAGTGGAGGACCACTTTTCTACTCTTTGGCTTCAATTACCTAGATGCCAATGGTGCACCATCCAGACCCCTTCCCTTGCTGGTCGCTGGAAGTGCTTATTCAACTGTCCCTGGGCTGTTTCCACCTGTGTATACCACAGTCATCTCAAAATCAACCAATTCTAAATTGAATTTATCTTTTCTAGTTCAGGAATATTGGAATTTCTACTGGCCCAAACCAGAACGCTCTCTGAGTACAAATCCTTCTCCATGGCTCCCAGCATTCCCACTATCGCCACTTTGCCTCTGACAGCTTCTCTCGTCTGGATTATGACGGCATCTTTCTCATTCTTCTTCCTGCCTTCTGCCCTACCTGTTATCCACATGACACCTGAGTGAGCGCCCTAAGGTGTGTACACCTGCTGATGCCACTCCTAACTTTGAATTTATCCATGCCAACCACCCTCAGCACTAATGCCAAATACTTAAAATGGCTTTCAAGGTCCTGAGCGACCTGGCTCCATATTACCCTCTGCCTTATAACTGAACCTCACCATTACACTCATTTTCTTTTGTCCCCATGTCTTTCACCCAGAAATGTTCTTTCCCACTTTTACCTGCCTCACTCCTCCACATCTTTGAGATGTACATCAAATGAAAAGATGCTATAAACTTGGAAAGCAAGTCTTTTTTTTAAAGTTGCTTCTTTTTTCTTGATTCCATATTATAGATCCCAACATTACATAGACGTAAATCATAAACCCAATGAACTTTGTCCTTGAAAATGCTAAACTCCCAGACCACACCTATCAAGTCTTGTGGTATTGCCACGTGACAGGCGAGGGCAGCACTGTCACTGCGAGTGTGCCACGGAAGCAATGTCCGGAGCCCTCAGGCCAGGGGCAAGGGCTATCCCCTAGTACCCAGGCTCTGCGCTGCGAATGGGAACAGGGAAATGGCCATGATGAGTGATTGGTGTTATTTCTTCAGCAAGACACTCTTTTTTCCACTTTTAGTTTGATGGAAGAAGATGGCAATTTTAGCAAAAGGGGCAAGGCACGTGGGACCAAACAAGTGCAGCGGCACTGCTTTCCTGACCTTGATTTTTGTCCCCTCGTGTGGGCGTTAACCTACTGAACACTTAAATTAGTGGAGAAACATATCCCTTTTCACCATGCCCCTTCCCCCCCTTTTAAACCTGAATGCCCTTCAGGATGCTCCTGGCACCACTGCCACTGCGTCTCCTGCTGGCAGCAGAGAGCAAGTGAAAAGCGAGCTGCAGAGGGCAGGGGCCCGGGCAGGGACGGCTCCTGCGCGATTCACCCGCGTCGCCCCAGGCTCCTGGGCCCGGCCCTGCTCTCGCGCTCCTGGCTCCCAGTAACTGTCGAGGCCTTCACGGGCTCACGGCAGCTTCGCCAAGACAGCACTCGGGCACCGCGTGGGCGAGCCAAGAGCTGCGGCCCGCGGCTTAGCGCCCCTGGGTCTCGGGCTGGCCTTCCCGGCGAGGCGGGCGCGGCGGACGGCGATGCCAGGGCGCGCT